CTCCCCTCCCCCCCCCCCCCCCCCCCCCCCCCCCCCAAAAAAAAAAAAAGAAGAAAAAATAATTGGAACAAGAGCTGCACAGTCTCAGAGCTTTTGCTTGATGAAACTTCTCAGGAATGTCTACGTTTGGGATATATGGAGAACTATTTTAATGAAGAACTGAGCTGAGAGTAATACTTCATCCTGTTACATGTTCAGTTCTCAGCCACTCATTTCACAGAATGACCCTAGAGATGTCCCTCTGGGTTTCTGTGGGCTTATGTATGCATTGTCTGAAAGGTCTCTTAAGCCATCGCAGCTGTGATGCTCTAGGTTTTTACACTCTTCCAAAACATGCAAAATTAATGAAGACAGGTAAAACTTCTGACATTTTCACAGGGATTATCTTCATGGATTTAAAAGTTAGTTTAGTTCCAGTTTCAGATCACTTGAAAATTGTTGATGAGGTAACGTAAAATAGTGTGTATCACTGTTCTGCAATACAACTACATATCTATTTTGAACCCATTGTGAATTCCTCTGACAGCCCATGCCAAATCTGGATTTGTAGTTTAAACTGGGCAAGATAAATCTTATATTTGGGCTGCCAGAAGCTCATACAGCTGTGTTGGAGCAGCATACTGTAATATTCCTATTGGCATTCAAGGATACTGAGTATGCTATTGTATATATGCTGATGTAAGGGCTTTTATGCACAAGTAAATTGATCAGCTCCTAGCAGGAGATTGTTCTTGTGCTAGGATTAACACAGATAGCATTAATACAACATCAGTACAGTTAAGTGCTTTTGTTCATGGGGAATTGTGCATTGTATCTTTTGCCAATTCTGTTATTCATGGCTTTTAAAACAGCATGTGGCTCTATTCAGACATTTTAAGGTCAAACTATTGAGTGCACATTCATGCATTCGTGTAATTCATATTTACAAGAACAGGGCATTTCTTGCTTTATCCTCTTCTCTCTCAATAATTTGCATCCTCAACCTTTTAATTTTTTTCCAAACAGGCATAATCTCTAAGAGTGTGTCCATGCAATATCAGTGTAGCATGTACTCGGTTTATACAAATGAGAACAAGAATGTGCTTATGATACCCAGAAAATAATTGTTGTGCCATGGTTTTTTCCACCTTCGTAAGTGGTAGGAAGCACTAAAGTGAGAGGGAAGGCTCTTTTCCATTACCCTGCTGTTGTGCCTTAGACTCATGCTGAGCAGAGGATAATGGAGGTGAGGGATGTTCACAGTGTCAGCAACTTCCACCTTCCCTGTTGGTAAATCTACTCCCTGTTCTCTGAAGAAGGATTAAAAGCCATCAGTTAGCTACCCTGTCCAGGACCCCATCTTGTGCTCTAGCTCTGCCATGCTGTGCCATATGCCTTAGTATTTTTTCTCTTCTGGCATTGCTCATGACTGGGTTCTTTGACACCGTTTAGCAGTAGTGGTACTATTTCCAACTTTAACTTGTTTTTCTCTTCATTTATTTATACTTGGGATTGGCATTAGACAGAGCCAGATGGAGAGCTGGCTCTCTGCTAGAAAGTTCAGTTTTCCTTTCCCTCTGACTGTTTAGTTATCTATTTCAGTCATGTAACTGAGCATCTAAGTTTAGTTGGTACATTTAATGTGTGTAATTCACCCTGATTCTTTAACAGTACCTTCTGTCAGCCTCTTTACTAGGTGTGGATGTCATCTTCTGGTCTGTTATCGATGCTGAAAGCATATTAGGAACTCTACATAAAAACTCAAGAACAAAGACTGTGTAATAATTGCTTTAGTGCAGTTTAAAAGCAGGCTTACGGGGAGCAAAAGGGTTCTTGGTCAGGTGTTTCTTTAATTTTCCCTGAAGGCCTCTGCCTGAAACTCTGTATTGGATTGCCCTGTTTGAAAGTTACAGAGCTGCCTATGAATATACTTTTTGAGCTTTTAAAAAAAATACAAGTGGGTTATATGGGTACACATCTTCAAAAAACATTTTCCCAACTGCAGTTAGCCCCCTTCTATGGATGGTCCAGAGGAACCTTCCCCCTGTAGCAAGCAGAATCCATTTCCTCCCATTCCCCTGTCCCTTCTCTACCTTTCCAGGTCCTGTCCTGGCCAAATTACAGCCTGGCTAAGGGCATTGGAGAAGGAAGGGATGTGCATGTGTAGTTCCATATATTGCAGCAGTATGATACATGAAATGCGGAGGCCCCTCTGACACACATTAATCAGCTGTTCTTCATTCTCTGTGTCGAAACGCTGGAACAGACCCATCAATAAGAAGTATGAAATAGCTTGTTATAGCTTGTTGTTTTCTATACAGAATTTGTATTTCTGTAGAAATAAGAACACCAAGTAATGGGGAAATAGAATTTCATTTTCCAGTTTATTAGCTCAAATCTCTCTGAGACTTGTCATGAGCTCTTTATGGGTTTGTGATGGCCAGTGTGAAATTTGGCCAGGACAACATTGCACAGATTTGCAGTCACACCTGTACTGGACAGGGGACAAAGAACTCTGACTGCTGGCAAAATCCCCAGCATGGGTCTGATGTCCTGACGACAGAGACCTTGTCTTGGTTCAACTCATCATTCAGGGCTTTGCTGCTATACCAGCAAAAAAGTGCTCCTGAGGTGGCACCTACCCCAAGGATGTGTGCATACCTAGCTGTGGTGGCAGGGGGTCCACTGCAGAAGCAAGGCTTGGAGGTGGTCTCGGCCAAGCTTTTAGGGACAGATTCTGTGTAAAGAAAATTAATATAGATGAGCCTAAACTTCACTACCAACTGTGTGTGGGAGTATCTGCCAGAGTTTCTACTGAATTATTCATTCCTCTTTAAAGGCCACAAACAATGTGTGCCTTCATCCAACAGATTGACTGAATTCAAAATTTAGGTTTGCATGGGAACTTGAATTAGAAACATTGACATTTATTTTACAGTAAGCACATAGCTTGTTAACAATCTGATTCAGTGCAGTTTTACTAGAGAGCCTCCTGTATTTCAGCTGTGTCTATTATGAGAGATGTCATCGCATCCTCAGAATGTGTAAGATTTTACTAAATATCTTTTGGTACTCTGAGATAAAAAGAAACGAAGATAGGGAACAAGAAAGCAACTCTTTTATACCTGTCTATGCAGTATGTATATAGACCTTTCCATGCTCTACAGTTTCATCGCTTTTTTCAGTACCATGTAGAGAGCAGTCCAAGAGGAAGTATTTGAACTGGTGTAGGGAGAAAAGAAATGGTACTTACACAACAGGTTATGGCTACTTGCAACCTCCAAAGTCTTCCCATTAATCTGTAATCTTTCTGCAGGGTTTTTGTCTCTCTGAATCCATTTACTTCCTGCTGGGGGCAGTGACACGGTTTTCCTTTGTGTTTTAGGAGGCTGGTAAAGCTAGCTCAGCAAGCAGGGAGGTATTAGTCATATTAGTAAAACTTGGAAAGAAAAAGACTCTTCTACTACTATGATAATCAAAAATGTACATTGTACAACAGGTTTGTCCAGATACCCAGCACTTTAAGAGCAGATTATTATTACAGTTACATGATGTAATTTTTAACATCTTGTGTAATGTTAATGGGCTTTTAGTTTGGGGGTTGTTTTCCCCCCTCAGCCTCCCTTCTTTTTGATGAGATTCAATCTGGCCTGTATTGTGCAAGAATGAAAGTTTGAAATTATGAAGCATTTTATGTGTGCTAGATTGTCTTGAGCTGAAAATGGATACTCTTTGTTGAAAGCATATCTTCAAAGCTAAATTAATTGGTTTATGTGGGCTGTGCTCAGTAATATCAGAAGGAATTAGATAGAGCTAAGGTAAATCTGATTGTTTATTATCTGTATACAAAGATGGTGTAAAAGGAGCTATGCCACAGGCCACAGATCTTCTTCCTAATAACTCTGTTCAGCCTCCCCCTAATGAAAACTCTGCTGTCCTCTCCCAGTCAGCTTGCCACAGAAGTTGCAGTAAAATGTCTGTCTTTTCCTGCTTTGTACCATGCAGTAGCTCAGAACAGGAGGGAGGTAAGGCTGGGCAAAGACAGGCATGAAAGATGTGAGCTGTCATCTCTAAACCAGGCTGCTTGGGGAACACTGGAATGAGGATCTCAAAACTGTCCTCTGGACCCAGCCCTGTGCATTTGAAATGTTGGTGCCTCCCTAGGCTACGGAGATGGGTGACTGCCCATGACTGAGAGAAGACAAAGCATGGGGTGCCTTGATACAGAGGGGTGGCATCTTGCAGTAAAAGACTTGCTGAAGAATCTCTCTCAGGCAGGTATGTTCATAAGGCAGGAATCTCTACAGGAAGGAGCTATTACCCTTTGGTATGACAGGGTCAGTTGCAGGAGCCTGCTTTTCCAGAGGCTGACATACTTCACCACAAGCTTTCCTCTCATCATCTGAACTGCTGCCGCTGCCTATGCTTGGATTGAGATCTTTGCTGGCATAGTGGATTACTCAGATCAGAAAGTTCAAAGTTACCTGTTTTCCTCTTGAACATAAGTTAGGAAATAAGCCGTGTTTCACTAACCTCAGCTTCCTTCTTCAGAGAAATTTGTGCCACTGCAGAAGGGACTGTACAAAGGCCTGTGTGCAAATTAGGACCTATGTGATGGGTTTAATAGCTGCAAAGCACTATGCACAGGGTCACTGCATGGAGCTGAATTTCATCTGCACGCTGTGCTAATAAATTACTATTTCTTAAACCTACTGTGAAGTATGACTATGGCATTTCTGGGTAATTTCTTCTGCTTTTCCTTTGATGTATGTTTACAAGATCCCACTGAAGAGCATTCTGAGCAACTCTTTATATAGGTCTCTCTTATCTTTAAAAATTAAATTCCTTGACTTTCAAGAAGATTTTTCTAAGGGTAAAGAACATACATTCCATGTATCTTGTGCTAGTTGGTTCCAGATGCTCTAGCTTATGCCTCCTTTTTTCTAACAAATGTTTTCCCTTTACTCTCAGTAGTAAAAGGAATGTTTCTCCCTTTTCATCTATTCTCTTTGGCTAAAAGGCAAAAAGGAAACTTATCATTAGCATATGGTGGAAAAAAATTACTGCATGCATCCCTCAGGCACTGCTCATTAACAGAATACACAGAAATGGCTCAAGTGTGGGTAATGTAATTGGTGTGTAACTCACTATTCCCTGAATATGTGCTTTCCCCTTACAGTACAAAAATTGAGAAGTATTTGCCTTGTTTAGAGGATGGAGCATTTGGAGTTTGAGAAAACAAGCCTTGGAACAAAGGGACATGATCGCAGCACCAAGTGCAGAGAAATTAAATGTTGCTTGTTAGGCAGTGACAGAAAATACGCATCCCACACCCATCTCCATGGCAGAAAGAAGGGTTGTTAAGAGCATACACATGCCTAATGAAAGCTAAATGCAAATCAGAGCTAATATATATGTCCTATGCTGGGCATCATAGTCAGAACAGTTTTAATCAACAAGCTCCAGGGTATTTTGTACTGACTAAAATAAAATAGAAGTTTTTCAGTTAAAACCATATATTGAAACCAATTAAGGTCTGATACGCAGCCAGAAAATGCTTATAAAAATACTTCACCAGGAAAAACAGTGCTGCATCCAAGTCTTGGAAAGAACAGCTTATAGAGAGACTTTTTGTTTCAAAACTCATTCATTCCTTATGAATAGCCTTGGGGTCCAAGTTCATAATTTCAGTCTTGTCTAAGGACCCCTGAGCCTCCTTTACAAACAAAGCAGGAATTTGGATACTGTTTCTGTGCTCCAGGTGTAATCTGGACCAGCCAGTTTAGGGCTGATCTTTTAAAGACATCAGTTTGCTGTGTGACTCTCCTTGGAGCATCTCAGAACAAACATTTAAGTACTGACCCACGTAAACTTAATGAACTTTTGTGAAAATTTGTCGTTTTTACAGCTCCTTATCCCCTTAAGCCACTGGGAAAAAGACTTACAGTTCTATGGAAATCACTATTGCATTTGTCCCGGGTAAAAATGGGACCTCTGTGTGCATATGCTGCTTTATTAGAACAATCTAAGGTCTTTGCCAGAAGCATTCAGTCTCCAGCTGTTGGTCTTCACTGGCCCACATGTCCTAATCATTCAAAGCCAGTTCTGAGTTTTGCTTCTAAGGGAGTTCTTAAAGCCTAGGACTGAAAACTGTGTATGAATGAATAGGAAACTTCCCTGTCTTGAAATAGCCCCATCCAAAGTGTTCACCAATATGTTTTATCTCAACTTTGTGACTTCACTGAGATTTAGATAATTGTACTAACTGTCATCTCTCCAGGTTCTTATCTTCCCACAGTACCACCCCTTTCATTGCCTTCTCAGTTGAATAAAAATCAGTAGTTTAAAAAAAGTCCATCACTTACAAGAAAACATTTTACTAGTTCCCTCACATACGAGGCAAATCATGAACACTTTGATTTGTGAAAACCGAAAAGGTAATTATGTTGATGGGGGCTTAGATGGCATACATGCCAAAGAGTAAGAACAATCCCTTCTTGTACTTAGAACTGTCGATGGTACTGGGATGGTTCTCTGAAGCTGTAGCAGATACAAGAACTCTTCAAAATAGAAATCTGTAGATCAAGGTTGTAATGAATGCATGTATTGGCACTTGGGTACTAACTGATTAGTCCTGCCTAACCTGATTTCTTATGTGCTTTGTGTTCTGTTTTAGGCACCAAAGGAAGAAACAAAGGTGAATTTACAAATCTTCAAGGTGTAGCTGCATCTACAAATGGAAAAATATTAATAGCAGATAGTAACAACCAGTGTGTGCAGGTATGAGGATATGCCACTGCCAGCATTTTTCTTTTTCTCTCCACCCCCATGCCTCTGCCTTCCTTGTAGTCCAGGGAAGACACATTTTGTACAGTTCAAGCAGATACAGAAAATACAGAGGAAGCTCAACTTGTTTGTTATCTATTATCATTCTGTCTTCTTGAGCTGCAGCTATCTTTTTCAGGTCTGCACTACATCTAGTATGTGTATCAGAGTTAATTTCCCTTCCTTACGATGTTTGGCAATGAATAAAGAAAAGAAGAGGTGCAATAATCTGGAAAAATGCCTTTCGTAAATATCATTTTACATAGTAAATTTATTACTCCGTGTTTTCAAATATAAATCTAGGACAAGATGCCCTAGATTTATATTTTTATATAATTTCTTAAGCAAATACAAATATAAACACGTAGGTGTCATTCTCAAATGGCTTTTAGTCTATTTAATTGACTTTTGTATCTGATACCATGATCAGATTTCTTTGGCAGCATGCTTGACACCCATGATTTCTTGGCTTCTGTAACCTGTGTGAAAATCAAACTGTGTTTTTTCATTTGCTTGCAATGTATCTTTTTTACCATTAACAATTTGTCATCACTTTTCAGGCTGCCCATGTGGTAGCAATGAACAAGGCAGCAGTGTGTGGCTTGTTCTTCACTATGTGGGAAACAGCAAGCCACATGCAGTAAGAATTCATTTCCAGGCCTTTTCAAAGAGACAGTCAAATATTCATTACACTTTGTAATTTGCAGCCACTTCAGAGGAAGTTCAGTGTTTAATTACCTGGCTTGGGGACACAACCAGTGGACTGAATTTTGTGTGGCTAAAGCATGTTTCAAGAGGTGGCCTAATACTTACCCTCGAGTCAAATAATTAAATTCTGAAATTCTCTTTTAGCTCCTATTCCTATGTTTTCTACTGACCTAGTCTTTGACTGTCGGCACGTCACTCAGTGCCTCAGTTTCCTCATCTCTAATATGGGAATAATACCATTTCCTTCCAGCTGAGAGGGACATTGTGAAGCTTAATTCACTGATGTTTGCAAAGTACCTTGAGATCACTGAAGAAACAGTACAATGTAAGTCCAGAGAACTTCTATATTTCAAAATTAGGGTTCAGGTGGAAGCCTCTTCTCAAATTAGGCCTATAACTTTCAAATATGGAGTGGTAAAAGTTCTTCATGTTCCTAACTTTCTTCCTGACTGTAGTGTTCATTAGTGACTTGTTAAAATCTATGGTCCAAGACACAGATGATGTTATTATGCAGACTTAATTTTAAAATGAATGTTTTCTGTTACAGATATTTTCCAATGATGGTCAGTTCAAGAGCCGTTTTGGCATACGAGGAAGGTCTCCCGGCCAGTTGCAGAGGCCAACAGGAGTGGCTGTGCATCCCAGTGGTGACATCATTATTGCAGATTATGATAACAAATGGGTTAGCATATTCTCATCAGATGGAAAATTTAAGGTATGAGTTACCATGGGAACTCTCCTGAGCTTTCTCTATCTTACAAAGGAATGCAAAGTAATGGGTTTTTTTGTCCAGAAACTACATAGTTTGGTTGTAACTTAGTCCAAATTCCATTGTTGTGATGACACAGACACGTTGTATAATTAATAGGAGGAGGTCACAGCTGTGATGCTAATGTTTTACCAAATAGAGACCATTTTACTAGGTGCTTAGATGCCTTTCCATAACTTATAGTCAAGGATAGCTGAAGTAATCAAGTCCAGTTGGACTATCTCAACAACCTTCATATCATTAGTATTCTCATTATACAGGAAGGTGTGTATATACCCATATACACACAGATAGACATAAAAACTTATGAGGAGAACATGAAGCTCTTCGGTGACAATGAAAAATAAGGTAGCAGACTGATGATGACTTCTTCTGTTTACTCCATACGTACCAGCAAATCAAGCGTATAATTCATGTGTCATCCTGTTGGTAATAAATGCAAGGAAGAGCAACACAGGATGTTGTTCTAACGCTACAGCATGGACAGGAGTGTTTTAGGCAGGGTGTTACGCACCAGAAGGACTGAAAGGCAGTAATAATGTCTTAGGTTTCAGAAATCAGAAGCTCTGAGAAAAGTGCACCTCTTATTTTCGTAGCAAATCTGATCCCTTACTTTAATAGGAGTAAAATAGGAAGGCAGCTACTATGCTACACTGATGCTTGCCAACCTGCAATATTTATTTTGTTTGGGCTCAGGTGCAATTCCAGAGAGAATTAGAAGTTGTCTCCGTTTGGTGTGTTCTCTGAATGCTCGTTAGCAAGTCTGGCAATGCATGCCAGAAATAGCCACCTGTAGCAGAGGTTAGCAGTACACACCGTTCAGTGAGATAAAGGACCTGCAGGGAAACTGCTACCACAGTTACTTAGTTCTACAGTCTTGCATTGGAGAGAAATTGCCTGTTTGGCTAATTTTCTGGAAGCCTAATGAACAAAAATCTCAGGCCCAGAGCTGCTCACATGTGTACTAAGAAATGGCCTGCCTTTGAGTAGGCTTTGCAAAGTGACAAATGCCATAGCAAATAGGCAATTGTGCTTGCTTAGTCCTCAGTGACCTCCATCTGGGAAACAGACGTGTATGCTTTTAAAAGTGTCCAGATCCTCTGTAGACCTGAAACTAAAATACTAATAGCCAATGCAAGTGTCAAAAGAATACAAATTACTTGCATTTGCAGAGAGTATGTGATTTTCCTTGTCAAGGAGTTTTGAAAATGTACAGCTACACAGGAAAACGTTGGTTTTGGCTGAAGTCCTTGAATGAAATGCAAACAGCAAAACAAAACCAAAGAAAGACGTGATTTAGTTAAGAGTCTAAACACTCTGAGTAAGCTTAGTGTGTTTTAAATAATTATTAACATCTTTGTTGTGAACTGGCTTGATCTGGACATAGAGCATCGAGAGCTTATTTTCCTTCCTTCTCAAGACATGCTGTACATCCCGCATTTTGGATGGTGCCAGCTCTGGAGGAAAAAGCCATGGCTCTGGAGAAGCCAGGACCCTATGTGCTATATACTGTCAGCAGGGAGACAGGTATTGAAAAAAATAAATTATTCAGGTAGTTCCTCTGACCTGGAGCCTAGCTTTGTTTTTAGTCAATGCTTTTGTTGGATTCCAAGAGCTGTATAAATTTGGCAATGTTTGTGTGGTTAATGCAAGTTAATGCATTGGACTTTATAGTTCCTGGGACTAGACGGAAATGAGAGATGAAACATCAATGAGATAAAGTGCTATTTTTAGACTGAATGCAGCAGGCTATATTTAGGAGAGAAAAAAATATACAAATGTTTTGTAGAAGTGTTTTACATATGGAGGGCAGGCATAATCACAGAGCTGAAATACAGGACGTGGATGTAACAGATCGAGCATGCGGGAATCTGGCCAAAGCTTTGTAATACCTTGTGTGTTGACAATGGTAATTCTTACAGTCAGAATAAATTGTGCAACACTTGCTAAGATACACAGAGAGAGAGATAAAGGTATAATGGTGTTCCCCTTCAAAGGACTGTGCTCGCAAGCCATTGTATATGATCTCTGATGCAGGCGGTCTGCTAGTTGTTAACTCAGCATTATCTGGGACTATTCTGAACTTACTCTATTTCTTTGGGGTTCTTTTGTCCCCCTCTTTCTATATCTACTTACACCTACTCTCCTTTAGCAGTGTTTTAATAGTCATGTGAGCCAGAAGGCAAATTTCTCCTGGAGCCAGGCCCAGGCATCTCCCTGGTAGAGCGCAGGGCTGATTTACCCCAGCAACCTCTGCTGCCAGGCAGAAATGTGTCACCTTCCTCAGTTGCTGGTAGCAACAGGAGCAGAGCTCCATTTTCTAAAGGCTGTAAAACTTGCGTAGTGCAGAGGTGGGCAAACCCTAATCTAAGGTTACACCAAAATACAAGTCTCTTAATGAGGCTGTGTTATCCTGTGAACAGTTGAATTAAGACAGTCACATAAATGATAAATCCATTTATTGTGTGACATTGCAATGCGTGACAAAGCTGTATCTCTGGATTAGGGAAGTTCTCAAATAGGAAAAGGTGCTATGTTGAAAGTCTGTAAATTAATTCCCGCCAATTGTGAACCTTTGAGGCAGCAACAAGACTGGTGGGGTTAAAGCCCTAACACACCTAGTTCTACAGTGGAAAAGTCTTTATAAATCTTTATACAGGCTAGCTGACTTTTTTACCTCTAGGAATATCCCACGGTAGAATGTTTTTCACCTCAGTAGGGTGGCTTTATAAACACACATTTGAAAACCAGTCTAAATTCATACAAGCCTATAAAATAAGGGACATAATGTCCTTGACTGAATTCAATTAAGCACATTATTTGTATTGAGGGTTCAGATGATTCAATATACTTTACTCATTTGTAATGGCAGAAAAGTCTGAAAGTACTTCCATTCATACACTTAACAGGAATGACTGGGTTTCATAATGTTCTGTTCTGAATAATCAAACCTATAATTCTAAGAAACCTTCTGAAATAAAAATATACGAAGCATATGTTCAGCCAGACCCAGTAATGTGTCATCAGCATATTTTGATCTAAACTGGAAACAGAGATTTTTGGTGAAAAGCACTGCAAAGTCTAGCTGGGCCTAATTTATTGCTGCCTGCAAATTATATATGAAATTCTGGCCCAAGAATGGTGATTTTTATTACTCTTCACAGCACTGAGTGCCCATTAACGTAGCACATGATTTATTCATGACTTTTTTCTGTATGTATTGACACTGTACTCATGAGTCTGAGTCATAGGAATCCTGGAAGTAAGGAGGTGGTGCAATGCACTAGCAGACAAACATAGGGGCATCCCAGAGGAAAAAAATACATGTGATTTAATCACACCAAAGGGAATAAATCTACTGATTTGCATTGTTTCATGGTTTTGCTGCTTTGTTGTTATGCAAACCTGAATACATTTTGTGGGCTTGCTCATATCTTTCTCCTGGTGAGCACAAAGTCATTTTTTATACTTTTCCCTGGGGATATTTTAGCATGATTTAACTAGGTGTTTTTTTCTCTAAGTATTTAGCAATTTATAACAGCATACCTACCTGAACATAAAACAGACACATGATCATTGCATATTGGCTAAGCATAGTCTTGAAGCAGCAGGATTTGCTCCCTGGAGTTTTCTTCATTTGAGACTGAAAGAGGTTGTGTAGTAATGCTGCTGAATTTGTACCAGACAGCATCAAGGAACCTAGATGGCTTTAGTTTGGGATCCCTTCTATTTTTGCCTCCAACCCTGCCCATGAGAACGTACTTTGGAATAGGAGCATGGGATTTACTAAGGGTACTTGAGCTCATTCAGATACCAACATGGATGTTTGCTTTGAAAACATTAAGGAATTGAGGGAAGTGAGTCAGGTTATGTATCTTCTCTGTGACCTGTAATCTGTTAGTTAATCACAGACTAACAGAGATTCAGCTCCTCATTACTTGCAAGAGGAAGGCGAGAGGGGTAGGAAAGTCAGAAGCATTGCCTGTTCTTGATGCTGATTTGTCCCACCCTGCAAAGGCAGTGAGGTGAAAAAAGGTCTTGTTTCATAGAGAACATGAATATCTTAATACCTACTTCATTTAAATTCTGATGGAAGCAGGAAGTTATATTCTCCACCAAAGAGATCATAAAGTCATAGAATATTAGATTGGAAAGGACCTTGAGGATCATCTGGTGTAACTTTTAGGCACAGCATGACCTAGAATAAATGTCCCAGCTCTCTATCCAGCTGAATCTTAAAAGTGTCCAGTGTTGGGGAATCCACTACTTCCCTGGGGAGTTTATTCCAATGGCTGATTGTTCTCCTTGTGAAAAACTTTCCTTGTGTTCAGATTCCAGCAGAATCTCTGCAGCAGTAACTTATGCCCATTACCCCTCGTCTTTACCATGTGAATCCTTGTAAAAAGGGAGTCTCC